GGTGAGGCAGTCACTCACTGGCCATTGGACGGCCACTCACGGCGGCTCAAGGCAGCTCACGCCGGCTGCTGGCCAGCCCCACTGTAGCCTATGCCATCACTGGCAACTCACGGCAGTCCAGCTCCAGATTGAGCTGTTGTTCATCATCTTAGCTATAGAGGGCACAGCGTCACTGGCCCTTATGTGGGATCCAAACCAGGGCCCTGCTGCTCAGAGCTGGTATCCCAAGCCAACTCCTAACCAATGTGCCACTCCGCCAGCCCGAAGGAATGTATTTTTATACTGTTATTTTAATACCCAAGACAGATTGTGTTTGTTTTATTACATTTCTTTTGAAATGGGTATAAAGCAATTTTGAGGATGGTTAGACTTTTTTTTTTTTAAGATTTTATTGGGGAATTGGGGGAGGGGAACAGCATTGGGGAATCGGGGAAGGGGAACAGACAATTTGCTGTCCTTTTGTTCTTCAGTCTAGTTGTGGAGGACAGTCGCTTCACTGGCCCATGTTGGTATTATTATTGTGCTCTTCCTGGGTGAGGCAGTTACTCGCTGGCCATTGGATGGCTGCTCACGGCAGCTCACACCAGCTTACACCAGCTTCCAGCCGCTCACGATGGCTGCCAGCCACTCCCCGGGTAGCTTATGGCAGCCCACTGCAGCCCCACTGCAGCCTACACCATCGCCGGTGACTCACGGCAGCCTACCTCGAGGTCAAGCAGTTGTTCTCCATCTTAGCTGTAGAGGGTGCAGTGTCACTGGCCCTCATGTGGGATCCAAACTGGGGCCCTGCTGCTCAGAGCTGGTGCTCCCAAACTAACTCTTAACCAATGTGCCACTTGGCTGGCCCAAGGATGATTAGACTCTTTTAATAAAACCTGTTAGGAATGCTAAAAAAATATTTTGGTGGGAAAATACAGGTGACAAGGTTTCTGTTTCTGTTTGTATAATTAAATAATTTATTTCAAGCAAACAAATACCACATTTCCCCATGTGTAAGACACTCCCATGTATAAGACGCACCTTAATTTTTGGGCCAGAAATTTGAAAAAAAAAAGTATTACATAAAGTTGTTGAACTCAAATTTTATTCATCATAAAATTCATACAACTCATCACTGTCAAAACTCCCAACCATTAGCTTGTCCTCATCTGTGTCTGATGACGAATCACTGTTTTCATATATTGCCTCGTCCTCAGCGGGAAATGCAAGTAAAAAAACTACAACCACTGTATAAGACGCACCCAGGTTTTAGACCCCAAATTCTTCGAAAAAGGGTGCATCTTATACATGGGGAAATATGGTAGTTTACACAAAGGGGTAATTTTTTTCTTTTATCTCCTTAGGATAGCAGTGAGATTCACTTCAAAGTGAAAATGACAACACATCTCAAGAAACTCAAAGAATCATACTGTCAAAGACAGGTTTGTATGTTACTGTATTAAATACAATGCTTTATATATCATTAATTTTTCTTGCGGGCTTACCAGCATATTTAACAAAGGCAAGTAAATTCTGGTGATCTCTAAAATTTTCTTGCATGTTTAAAATGCCATATGTTAAAGTACTAATGTTATTAGTTTATTATCTGTATACATTGTACTATATATACTGTTATGGCTAATTGCATTTTATGTTTTCAACATCAAGAACTTTTTCTCTTCAACCCTCCATTGGGCACAATGCAAAAGTTATGAGTTTGGGCGCAGTGCATCTACTAGATGTGTGTATGACATTTACTTATTTAATTGAAAATGAATGAAAATAACGTGTAAGCATGCTTATTATTTATTAAGAATGAAATTTTAATTTGCCACAAAGTAAAAACAATATCTGTTTATTTCATAAATTCAGTATGAAAATAAACAGAAATTCAAAACAATCTGTGAGATCAGTTGCGCCTGACAGAGGGTTAAAAAAAAATCATAAGTCTAATTAATTTATTAATGCCAAATCCTTAACAGATCCTGGCCGTCATGAGCTAGATTATTAGATCAATAACTAATTCCTTCAACCTGCCTGGATTCAAACTTGGGCTTCACCATTGTCTGACTTTAGGACAATGAACAAGTTATGTGCCTTGTTTCCCCCTTAGCGAAAAGGGAATATTATGGTGCCTATCCCCATGAAGATGAAATAAGATGACCTACATAAAGCTCTTAACTTGATGCCTAAAAATGCTCAGTAAATGTTACCCATTATCATTAAAATACATTGTTTTATAAATGTAATTGGAATTAGGATATAGATGCTCCTTAACTTATGATGGGGTTACATCCCATTAAACACATAAGTTGAAAATATTGAAGTAAAAAATGAATTTAATGTGCCTAACCTATTGAACATCATAGCTTAGCCTAGCCTACCTTAAATATGCTCACAACACAGTATCCAGAATATGCTGGCAGCACAGCGCACTGTGGAGAATTGGTGGTTTATCCTTGTGATCCTGTGGCTGATGGGAGCCCAGCTTGCTGCTCCTGCCCAGACTCATGAGGGAGTACTGTGCCACATAGCGCTACCTGGGAAAAGATCAAAATTCAAAATTTGAAGTACGGTTGACCCTTGCACAACACAGGGGTTAGGAACTCTGACCCCCACACAGTGCAAAATCCGTGTATAACTTTTGATTCCCCAAAAACTTAACTTCCAGTAATCTGTTGAGCGGAAGCCTTACCAACAACATAAACAGTTGTTTAACACATATTTTGTATGTTATATGTATTACATACTGTATTCTTACAATACAATAAGCTAGAGAGCAGAAAATTTTATTAAGAAAATCATAAGGGGGGCTGGTCGAGTGGCTCAGTTGGTTAAGAGTGTGAGCTCTGAGCAACAGGGTCACCGGTTCTATTCCTACATGGGCTGGTGAGTTGCTGCTGAGCTGCCAACAGGTGGCAAGATGGCTGGTGAGAGCACATGCTCCTAACAACAAGGTTGCTGTTTTGACTCCCGAATGGGATGGTGGGCTATGCCCACCTGCAACTAAGATTGAACATGGCACCTTGGGCTGAGCTGCCCTAAGCTGCCGACAGGTGGCCGGACGGCTCAGTGGTTAGAAAGTGAGCTCTTAGGAACAAGGTTGCTGGTTTGACTCCTGCATAGGATGGTGGGCTATGCCCACTCACAACTAAGATTGAAGGACAACAACTTGGCTGTTCCCCTTCTCCAATTCCCCAATAAAATCTTTACCAAAAAAAAAAGTCCTAAGAGAAAATACATTTGCAATACTGTATGTATGTATTGAAAAAAATCTGTGTATACGAGTAAGTGGATCCACACAGTTCAAACTTGTATTGTTCAGGGTTCAACTGTACAGTTTCTACTGAATGCATATTGCTTCTGGACCATTGTGAAGTAAAAAAATCATAAGTTGGAGACCACTGTACATAGGAGACAACCAAGATATATTTTAATAATTGAATTGTGTTACATGATATTAACTCAGGTCGTGTAGGTTTTTTGTTTTTCTTTAGCTGAGCCATTCTGCCACCTGTTGGCAGCTCAGCGGCAGCTCAGCTCGGGCCGGGACTCGAACTGCTGTTGCTCAGAGCTCACACTCTTGAGCGAGCTCTTAACCAACTGAGCCACTCGGCCGGCCCTCGTGTAGGTTTTTTAGAAGAATTTTTACAGTTAAATTTGTAATTTATATGAAAATCACTTTTGCCAGAGGAAAAAAGAGATCACCTAGGTGTTAGGATAAGTAAAACAGTAAACGTTTCTCTCTCTTCTGTTTTTGATAATTGTTAAACTCAGCAAAATCTTATTAATTGGGGCTCAACTAGTTCACATTTGTAATAATACTGATGAGGGCTAAAACTGAGATGTTTACCAGGGACAAGGATCATATATTACATACACTATGCTAGTTACTTAGTTAGATACGTTATCATTTAATCCTCACAACTCAGAAAATTAGATAGCCTTTTCAACCCATCTATAGACCAGGGAGTTAATTATTGAGGAAAAACAGTGCAAAGTATAGAAGTAAATCACAAAAATGAAAACTAAATTTTGATCCAAAATTAAAGTTGCTAGGTTTGGGGGATTAATTAAAATACACATCAATTTATAATTATATCCAACTTTATGCTTCAGAATATACTTTACAGTCTTCAGAAAAGGTTTTTATACTTAGTTTACAGAGGTTTGGTAAATTATTCTTATTTTTAATGATATGCAAGGAATAGGAAACTTAATTTATCTATTCAACACTTATCCAATAGAGAGAGATTGAAAAGTATAAAAAGTAAATATTTATTGAATCATTTTTCCATTTTGATTTTGTAGATTGGTTTCTATAGAAACATTTTTGACCCAACACAAGATAATTATTGGTTTACGAGTAAATTAAAATCAAAGAGTATTCTGTCTTTGTCAGTTAAGTTTATTTTATAATTTATTAAAACCCTGGAAATAATTTAAAATCAATGAAGGATAAGTTTGCATGGTCTCATATGTGTAGTACATATTGAAAGATAGTTTTATTTTTTTGGATGTTTTTTGGATGGTGTTTGGATGTTTTTTGGATGGTGAAAATCTTAATACATTAGGTATTGAGCAAAACTTTCATAATACTTTTGTAGTAAATAAATGATTCCTGATTTGTACTTAATAGTGAAGTTATTTCTCTTTATATGAGTCATCTCTTCTCATTTAGCTATTTTTGTTGAATAAATGATTAGGAAAATATATGTTAATAACTTTTGTGATATTTATTGTGCTGTCCATGCTATCACAGTTTACTGTAGCTTATCTGGTTAACTACTGTGCTTTACCAATTTTCTGTGATTTAATCTTTTCAAACCAGATTTTCTTGTACAGTTGGAAGCTAGTGAAGGTGCTCATCCATTTTTTTTTTTTAAAGATTTTTATTGAGGAATTGGGGGGATGGGAACAGTGCTGGGGAATTGGGGGAAGGGCAACAGGCAAGTTGCTGCTGTTTTGTTCTTCAGTCTAGTTGTGGAGGACGTTGCTTCACTGGCCCGTGTTGGCACCATCATTGCGCTCTTCCCGGGCGAGGCAGATCAGTCGCCGGCTTCTGGACGGCCGCTCACTGCGGCTGCTGGCCGCTCACGCTGGCTGCTGGCTACACACGGTAGCCCATGGCAACCCACTGCCACAGGGGCTGCAGCCTACGCCGTCCGGGGACTCATGGCAGCCCAGCTCCAGGTTGAGCTGTTGTTCAGCATCTTAGCTGTGGAGGGCAGTGTCACTGGCCCTCATATGTGGGATCCGAACCGGGGTCCTCTGGCGTCCCAAGCCAGTTCTTAACCATTGCGCCACTCGGCCGGCCCCAATTTTTAAATTTTATCTTTTATGTTAGCTTACAGATTTGAGAGGAAACTAAAATAGTTGTCAAGAGCACAGGCTTAGGAACAGATTTGGCCTTAAATTCATGGCTCGCTTGTGTGCCCTCTCCATACTTTAGATTCTCTAGCTGTAAAATGAAGGTAAGGTGATAATATGTACATTCCAGAGTTGCTGCTATGAACATTTATGATTATGTATGTAAAATACTTGTAATAGGGAGAGCCTAGCAAATAGTTGGTACTCAGTAAATGTGTAATTATGATAGAATTAGCTCTCTGGTTTCATGTTCTATGTATTCTATTGAAGCTTTCATGTTTTTTGTGCATCAAAATTCTTATCTATTTTCTAAGATTTGTGTATATATAAATATATGTTTTTTGCCTTTTTAGGGAGTTCCAATGAATTCACTCAGGTTTCTCTTTGAAGGTCAGAGGATTGCTGATAATCACACTCCAAAAGAAGTGAGTATAATTTCTTCTCTGAGTCAAGAAAAAATTTTAATTCTGCACTGAATGATTTGATTTACTGTTAATAAACTGCCCTTTTTTTCATGAATATTCTCTGATTTAAGTGGTGTATCATTTGTCAGAGAGAAAAATAATCTTTGGGGTTGAACTTCCCATATAGTGGCCTTCAAAATTGCCAATAAAAAGAGGTAGGAAGTGTTCCCACTGACTGAGATTGTCACGAGGCACACACTATGTCTTTTTGAAGAGGGACAGATGTTCCTCAAATTTGGCCAACTTCTGGTACACTTTTCATGGTGCTGGTGACCTTGATGATTCAGTTTTGACTTTTGACCCATTTTAAGAACTTAATACAGAAGCTTAGTATATATTAATATATTTGTTTCTGTCATCTTGGTTTATGTTTTTTAATGCTTCTGTGCCTTTGTTTTCGTTTGTTTTATTATATAAACTGTTTTCTTTGTTTATATATCCCCCCTCCCGCATAGAGCCATCTGAAAGTAATAAAGTTTGTGAGAGAGAGTGTGTATATATATTTCTATTTGTAGGAATTCTTTCCTCCAAATACAAAATAACATTTCCAATGTTTCCGATAGTGGGAACAATGTATGGTTATTATTTTTTTATTTTGAAAAATTTTAAACTTAGAGTTATGAGACTAGTATAATATTCACCTGTACAACATGTTCCCTAGATTCACCAGTAATTAACATTGTGCTGCATTTTTTTTATCACTCTGTCTATATATACATATTACCATTGGTGGTGGACCATTTGAGATTAATTTGCAGATATCATGACCCTTTACCCATAAGTATTTCATCGTTATCTCCTAAGAGCCAAAGTTCAATTATCAAATTAGGAGACTTAACATTGATATATTGGGTTGTTGGAAAAGTCATGATGTATTTTTTCTATGTTTTTCGTTGCAAAAATGTGTCATGACTTTTCCGACAACCCAATAGTACTGTTATTGAATATGCAATCAAAATCTATTCAGGTTTTGCCATTTGTCCCAATAAGATCCTTTACAGCCTTTTTTTTTTTTAAGCCTGACATGGGATCCCAACTAGGATATACATTCTAACTAGTTTTCATGCCTTTAGTTTCCTTTAATCTGGAGCAGTTACTCAGTCTGTTTTTCATCACACTGACATTTTTTTAAAGAGTACAGGCCAGTTAGGTTTTAGAATTGTCCTTCAGTTTGGGTTTGTCTGATGTTTTCTCATGATTAGATTCAGTTTTACACTTTTGGTGCCAGTGGCACAGAGTGAAATAGCACTTGGAAATCACATCAGGAGGTACATGAAGTCCATTTTAAGATTCTTGTTATGGGTAATATTAACTCGGGTTACTTAGTTAAGGTGGTAATTGCCAGATTTAGCCATTGTAAAATTATTTTCCTTTGTAATTAATAAATAATTTGTGGGAAGATACTTTGAAACTGTGTGAATATTCTTTGGATATTGGCCAGTGGGGGGCCCCTTCAAGTTGGTGTCTGTTCTTTTTGATGTTTCTATCTTTTTAAAAGTTTTTATTTTGAAATTTTCAACTTACAGAGAAGTTGGAAGAATAGTACAAAAAATTGTACTCGCTTCCACCTAGATTCACCTATTTTTAACATTTTGCTACCTTTGTTATTAGTACCTCCTCCCCCTGCTTCCCCCCTCCCCCCCCCAGTGGCTCTGAACCACTTGGGAGTAGGTTATATACACTATGGCCATTTACTATTTAATATTTTAATGTGTATTTCTTAAGAACAAGGATATTTTATGTGACCACAATATTGTTAATCAAATTTAGAACACTTAACATTGTTAGAATACTTTAATCTATAAACCTAATTTTGTCATTTGTCCCAATTATGTCTTTTGTAATAAATTTTCTCCTCTGCCACAGGATCCAGTTCAGTATCAACATAGTTTATTGAAGTGCCTCTTTAAGCATCTTTATTTTAGAACATTTCCTCAGCCTTTCTTTGTCTTCCATGACATTTACATTTTTGAAGAATACAAATCGGTTATTTTCTAGAAAGTCCTGCATTCGGGTTATGTACTTTTGGCTGGAATACTACATAAATGGTGATGTGTCTTTCTCAAGGTATAATAGCTGGAGCACATGAAGCCCTTTATTGGTGATGTTCACTTTTATCACTCAATTTAACTTTTCATTTTTCTTTACTGTGCAATTATTTTTCTTGTTTTAATTAATTTGTGGGGACGTACTTTTGAGTATCTTCTTTCTCATCAGACTTTTCCCCCTAGATTTAGTATCCATCCACTTTCTTGAGTATTTCTTTGCTTTGTGGCACAATAAGATGGTCCACATTCATTTTATATTTCCCCTGTCCTGGCTTGGCATAATCTCTTTATACATAATAGATACTTGAACCATATTAGTGACACCTTCCTCACTATCATTAAGAGATTATCAGAAGAAGAATGGGCAGTGGGAGAGAGCACCGGCAGGTACTTAGGGAGTGACCTTGTCCTGTTTTTCATTCATCCTTACTAATGTACTTTTTGAAGCTCTAGCTTTGTATTCTCCATAATTTGAGGACATGTGCTGCCTTCCTGATTTAAAGCTTCCTTATAATGTTTGGAATTTTATTCCTTGCAGTATTTACCAGGCTATATGTACAATTAAAATTAAGTTTTAATAGCATCTTTAATTTTAATATTCATGTATGTACCACGCAAAATAAGCATAACACTAGAGCCAATCTAATCATTTAAAAAATCCTAAATCCATATAAGCCTGTGTTTTATTTTTAGTTTTCTTAGCATATTTTAATTTTTATATTTTGTAATTCACAAAAGTGTCATCTATAAAATATAAAACTTTTCTTAGAGGAAATTACTATCTTAGACTTCCCTTTAAAATTTTATTGTTCAACTTTTTTTGTGACCCATTACAGTTCAGTGGAAACTGCTAATTTTTTATTTCAATCTGCCTTTTACAGTGTTTCTCAACTCTGGTTGTGCACCAGAATTCATAGGTTCAGAGTCTCTTACCCTCATTGAGGGTGACACTTGGGTTGCTGTGTGACACCATTGCTCTCTCATGCACTCTTTTCTTTTTTTAAAGAAAGAATACTCATAGTTAAAAATAAAAGTAATAAACCAAACACCAAAGTATATAAAATGGAAAATATACTCTGAATATGACTGCATTCTCATTTCTCAGAGGCAACCGTTATTAATATAGTAGTCCCCCTTATCTGTAGTTTCACTTTCTGTGGTTTCAGTTACCCACCATCTACCACAGTCCAAAAATATTAAATAGAAAATTCCAGAAATAAACAGTTCATAGGTTTTAAATTGTGCACCATTCTGAGTAGTGTGGATGAATTCTTGCACCATCTTGCCCAGGACATGTATCATCCCTTTGCCCAGTGTATCCATACTGGATACACTACTGGCCATTAGTTACTTAGTGGCTGACTCAATTATTAGATCGCCTGTTGTGGTATCGCAGTGCTTGTGTTCAGGTAACCCTGTTTTACTTAATAATGGCCCAAAAGTTCAATAATAGTGATGCTGGCAATTCGGATATGTCAAAGAGGAAAAAACATAGTATATATCTAAATGTATGGGGAAAAACCATAATATATATAGGGTTCTATGCATATAAAGCACATTAAAAAAAACAATAATTGCCTATACTTTGCTTAATGTTCTCTAAAAGGAATTTTAAAGGGCTCCCCCTATTTTTTCCTGTTAGAATTGAGAAGGGATGGGCTGAGAAATCTAGCTTATAAAACTGGAGATACTGAATAAAAGTAGATGTATAGATAATTTTTCTGCATTGAGTGTGGTCAATATAAAAAAACAGCTATATGCTGGAAGGAATTGTAGATAACAAAGCAAACCACTTGGAAATGAATCCTTTGGCAGCATTTTTCCTACTAAAACCACATATATTTCAAAGTGAGATCTGGTTTTTTGAAAGAGAAAAAGAATTTTATCAAGTAATTCCATCTTTCAAACTATTATTTAAACTATTAAATACGTGTTCCATTAGATTTAAAACTTTTAAGGTCCTTTTTAATAAACATTTAAGTTTTATATAGTGAATAAGCTGGAAGTGGAATTGACTCACCAAAGTGATGAATGACTATAGACAGAATTGGAAAGAAATATCTCTCTGTTCTTTGGATTAAAGGAAACGGGATTCTTAATCTTAGAACAGTGTAACTATGGACCACTTGTATCTTTTTGCATTTTAAAATAGTGGCCACTTAATTGCAGCAAATTAAAAAATAGTGCTTATATATTCTACTACTAAAATATTTTTCTTTCCTCTTATAGCTGGGAATGGAGGAAGAAGATGTGATTGAAGTTTATCAGGAACAAACGGGAGGTCATTCAACGTTTTAGATACTCTTTTTATTTTTTTTTCTTTTCCCTCGATCCTTTTTTATTTTTAAAAATAGTTCTTTTGTAATGTGGTGTTCAAAACAGTTGAAAACTGGCACCCCATCTCTTTAAAACATCTGGTAATTTGAATTCTAGTGCCCATTGTTCATTATTGTTTGTTTTCATTGTGCTGATTTTTGGTGATCAAACCTCACCCCCCCTTCATATTGCTCTCTCCTTTTTAAATATTACATGTGTGCACAGAGAGGCCACCTTTTTCAGGACTGTGCATTTTCAGGCTTGTGATAAATAAGATCGACCAATGCAGGTGTTCATAATGACTTTCTAATTGGCCCTGAAGTTCTAGCATATGATTGCTTCACTCCTGGACTGTGACTTTCAGTGGTAGATGGAAGTTTTTCAGAGAACTGAACTGTGGACAAATGACCTTTCCTTAACTTGAAGCTACTTTAAAAATCTGAGGGTCTGGACCAAAAGAAAAGGAATATCATGTTGGAGTTAAGATGACAGATGTGGTGAGAGTGAAGACTGACTCCAAAGATGGCTTCCCTGAAGAGAAAGCATTTTAAGAGTAAAGAAAAATCTTGTCAGAAGATCCCAGAAAAGTTCTAATTTCATTAGCAGTTAATAAAGTTATTAATGCAGAAGTGTGTACAACAGAACACTGTTCTTTTTGATTTTATTTGTACTTTTTGGCCTGGGATATGGGTTTTAAATGGACATTGTCTGTACCAGCTTCATTAAAATAAACAAAATATTTGTAAAAACCGTACTAATGTTCATTTTATTTTTAATTGTATAGCAAGAAAAAAAATGTCTAAAACATAATGTTTTCTTGCATAATACTGGAAATTACTGTTTGTACATGGGATGTACAAAAAAGTGATGATGATCAGGACTTTGAAGCACTGAAAGTTACTGAAGTGCCTTCTGAATTAAGGATTTAATTAAGGCCACAATACCTTCTTAAATACTCTGTTCTGTTTTTTAAAAAACTTGATATTTCTTATGGTGTATATAGTATATGATACAGTTACCCAGTCATGCTGAATAAATGGCCACACCAAAAATTCTTAATGGATTTATATTGATAATTTCAGTTTTTCCTTTAGTAGTTTATAAAATGTTCCCTGCTTAGTTAAGATTTCATATGTATATTTTGTTTATATTTTCCTTTTATTTCTTTATATCTTAAATATTTACATTTGTATAAAATTAAAATTCCAAATTAGTTTCCATTAGAGGACTTAACCTTTTAATTTTTTAATGAATCAGAATTCAGGATATTTATGCATACACATAATTCAATTTCATGTTATCCCAGATAGAATGTGACTTGAGCAATTGAGAAGAGCAAGTAAAACCTATCTTTAATGTATTTTATAAACTGTTATAACTTATATACCCTACTCAAGTCACCTGTTAAAATAATTGGCTTGCCTTATAAATTCCTATATCTGACTAACTGAAAAATTATTGGTGTTGTATATATATAGTCTAGATAAATTAGAGCTTTTAGATTGTCACCTGGCATTTGTCATTATATTAAATAGTGACTAGAAATTAGGCCCATTTGTAGAAAATCCTCATTGAGTTGCATTATTTTCATCAAGCCTAAGTAACAAACCTGATAGGCAGTTTGAGCGATCCAGAGTGCTTGAATATGTAGTTTGGCATCTTATTTTTGTTTTCTTTGAAGGCTCTCAGCATTTAGATGGTGATGCTTAGCTACTGGGGAAATAATTTTCTTGTTTTTAGTTAATTGGATTCTTCTAAATGTATTGCATTCTGCTATGGTTAACTTAAAAATGTGTTTATCTGGTGTAGTAGTGCTGATAAATAGGCCTTTCACAGCAACAATTTAATATCAGATTTGGAAGGGACCTTGAAAAACATTTAGTGTAGCCACTAGACCATCGTGCTTGACTGCAACATCCTAAATTTGTAAAAGAGGGGAGAAGTAAAGTCATTAATGGTAATTCTCCCCCTCCCCCCAGGATGTCTTCCTTGAGTGTTCTGTTCTTGGTTGAAATGCTCCCTTCTCACCTGATAAAGTATTATTGAATGAATTGAATGAATGAATGAATGTGCAAGCAGGGTCAAGAAGTTTGAGAAAAAGTTTGTGACATTTAAATTCACCATGACTGATAATATTTTGGCATTTTTCTACTTTACATAAAACAGTTAAAAATAAACATCAAAGTTCAGTAACACAGCAATACAGAATCAAAATTAAGCTTGACTTCTGGACTGCAGAAGTGCAGCTCCTGTAGAAAGCAAATACCTTACAAGCATTAGTGGGAAATTTCAGGGAATCATCTGCAAATACTGTTTTTCAGCTGTGGACAGTGAAGTATAGTGTAGGGCAAAGTAATTTGTGGGAAAACTCATGTCTGGTACTGTTTGCTTTAATAGCCTTTTATAGATTATGTTCTAAGGCTGTCCTTTAATGATCATTCTATGATAGATTAACTAGATACTTTTCGATATTAAATAGATGTTAAAGACAAATTATGTAATTATGACTTCCTTGATAGAGTCAGTGTGATTTTAAAAATGGGGAAATTAATGTGAGTGGTTCATTCTTCAAGACACAGGAGCAAAACCTTAAGATTTGTTAATCTTCAGGGCTCTAGAACAATAGAACTTTCTGCGACGATGAAAAGGTTCTGTATCCGCTGTACAAAATGGTAGCCAGTAGCCATGTGTGGTTATTGAGCACTTAAAATGTGGCTAGTGTGACTGGAGAATTGAGTGTTTTCACTTACATTTAAATAGCTACATATGGCTTATTGGACAATACAGCCCTAGAATTTATACTTTGAGGATGTGAGAATAACCTCACAAAACAGCTCAAATGAACATTTATCAAGTAATTAACCTTGTTTTAAATAGACATTAAATTTTAGATTCTTAGGATGAAATGAATGTGCTTTATAAGGAGAATATAATAAAATTCTTAATTTATGAATTAGTTCCTCAGCTAATTCAGAATTATAAGCATTACAGAATTTATATTTACCTGGCAACTCTTTCAGACACATCGACTAAAATGAAATACTTGGACTAGCCTAAGACTGTGTTACTGTCTTACTAACTGAAATTCAAACCGAAATTATAAAATTTCATAATTATAAAATACAAAAATGGGCCAGTTGTAGGCACCAACACATCTGAATTTATGTAGTGCTAGAGAACGTCAAGGGCTTAGATGAGTGAAGAGTTTAATTGAATTGGGTTGAGTAAAGCATATGTGGTGGAGAGGGTTGGTAGGAATGGAGGGAACTTCCCAGAGTGAAGTTAGGTGTGGGTTGAGGTGAACAGGTTGAGATGGAACTAGTTGGGCTCAGTATGGAACTTCATTGTGGACGGAAGCGCCTCTTTTTCTTTCACCACCTTCCAACTTACTTTTTTGTTTTCTTCTAGGGTTAAGGTCTGGGCATTTGTAGGAACTGAAAGTAAGAGTAGACCCATGGTCTGGAAATGTTGTGTGTCCACTGCAGGCCACTGGCTTCCTTGCGGAGTTCTTGATGGAAATGATGATGCTTCTTCAAAGCAGCTTTTTGCCTAAGGAGACAACCCCACCCACAATCCCAATACTGATTAAGCATCCTGGAAATTTTCCTTAGCAGCTGGTAGAAGAACTGTGGATTTGAGTAATCAATAGACTTGGGGCTACTGATCTTGCACTTCAGTGGAAGATCATACGGTGTTCATTTAGTTACTTATATAGGAGATTTAGAGTATCGTGAGCCTCCTATTGGAAAAGTAGAAGGGAAAGCATAACTCACAGTTCTTAAACTCGTATTGCTGGAAGGGACTCCCTTATTGTAGAAAAGGAAACAGGCCAGAGAAGTTAGAAAGTACCTGGGCCAATGTCACACAAGTGAAGATGAAATAGAGCCAGTTGGCATCAAGTTCTAACCCTTGGGCTGAGGCACTAGCCCTCATACACCCCTTTATTACTTCGTTTTCTGCTTTCAGCTCCTTGCACTACTAGCCTTACAAAACTCAACTTCCCCTCGTATGACTTGTTAGTTTTTTGTGAAAAATTGTGTGTGTGTGTATTTTTGTTTTGTTTAGAGCCTCTTGCCATCCCCTCCACCCCTAGAATGTAAATGGCATGGTAGAAGAGACATCTCTGTCTTACTCCTGAATTCCCAGTGTGCAGAACAGTGTGTGGCACATACGAGGCACCCAATAAATACTTCTTGAGAAAGACAGTGGTTCAGAGTCAGGGGTCTTAGATCTGGTCCTGGCACTGCTCCTAACTCACTGTCCGGCCCTGATCATATCCTTGCTCTCTTTGGGACTTGTTTTTCTTATGTGTAAACCAGAGAGCTGGGATAGAGGATCTCTAAACTCCCTTCCAGCTTCAATACAAGTTCTATAAGCCATGAAGAAATTTTGTGACATTTGCAGCAAAAGAATCTCTTATTTTTTAGTTCTTCCAAATTATGCCCAGGGGGGGTGGGAAAATTTCACTTGTCCAAAGGCAATGCGAGGCTAGTACTAGCTAGTACTAGCACCAGGCAGTGAAGCCCCCTTGGCACCTGTTGTCCAAATAACCAGTACCTGGCTAGTTCCTGGTTTTGTTTCATGGCTTCCTCCAGAGCCAGCCTTGCTGCTTCCTCTTCCTTTTGCCTCCTCTCTGCTTCCAGCTGAGCCTTCTCTTCTGCTTCCTGTTTCCGCTGTAGGTACTCCAGTCGTTCTTCTTCAGCCATTTCCATCAGGCGTTTGTGTTCTTCTGCTAGCTGCATTTCCAATTCCTTCTGCCTTTGCTTCTCTGCCTCTGCAGAATAGAAAAGGGGTTGGACTCATCAGGGGTCTCTTTATTGGAGAAAATTCTCTGATCCAACTCTCAAGTCTGCGATTCCCAGGGGCTCCCCATGAAAAATTTTGCAGCCTACCTGCCAGCAAGTTGCCAGATCCTCTGTAGGGATTACCTTGGGGTTAATTGACTAAAAGTTCTTTATCAAGCACCTACTATGTGCAGTGCACTGTGCCATTAACACAAAATTTGTGGGAGAATTTTCCAGAGCCTAGTGTGCTCATGGGGGTGGTATGCAGATGGGTTGAGGAGGAGGGTCAGATCACGGTCTGGAGAAACTTGGTGCTTACTTAGCTGGACTGACCAGTCTAAAAGAGTGTCATGTGCTGAAGTTTCTTCCTCAGAAGTGAGGCGGTAGAGATTCCGTACATCAGTACCTGAAATGCTGCCCTGAAGCTATCCAGATGTTTGATTGTTTCCATCTGCTAGGGAAGGAAGCAAGGAGCAGGGCTCCGTCTGCAATTTAGGCAGCTCCTGAGCAACGATGAAAGGGCAGTGGGAGGGGCAGGGTCCCCTGTTCAGGGGATGACTGAACTGGGAGCAGGATCCAAGAGCCATCTCCACAAGTGATCTATCTCAACTCACTATAGTCACACATATTAATTATTTTGAAGAAAAAATAGCTTATACATTTGAAGTGCTGCACACACTTAAGGCCTGGGATAGGAATAACTCTGGGGAGATGCAAATGAACACCCACAGTGGGAGAGAGAGATTTCTGCCCCAGATAGACAGGCGATGCAGAGCGCTCCAGGGTACCCCTCACCAGCTCTCTCCACTTCTTCCTGCTGCTTTTTTCTCTGCAGTTCTTGCAGTTTCCTCCGGAATTTCTCCTGCTGCCGCCTGGCTCTCTCCCGGGCTGCTTGCAACTGCAACCACTGCTTTCTCTCCTCCTCCTCCTGTTTCTGCCGTTCTTCCTCTCGTCTTTGTTTCCTCAAGCTTGAGAAAACACAGGACAGTCAGGGAAATGGCAGCAAAACCTGGGGCATCCTCGTGAGACTAGCCAACAGGCAGTTCCCCTGGTGGAGGCTTACATAGCAGGCCGCACGCTACACGGAGCATCCCGCTCAGAGGAGACGTGGTTTTCCAAGGGAACCCCAATAGAAGGGCAGAGGCAAGAACACAAGGGGCCTGGAACTAGAAGCCTAGCTCTGTGCTCTGGGGAGTTCCCAGAGCTTCATTTTCTATTCTCATAAAATGGATTTTAAAACTCTTGTCTCACAAGGTGGTTGTGAAGATTAAAAGTCAAGGCCTACGAAAGGACCCAGTGCAAAGGAGACGGTGTGGTAGGGGCTCAACAAGCGTTTCCTGCACTGACCCTCAAAGCCCTGCCGGGAAGACCCCATGAACTTGGATCTGGAGTAACCGTCATGGTCAAGACACTGCATCTTTTTGGTCCAGCCTGTTCCTAGGATGACTGAGGATAGAGAGAAACGAGACATGCTGTTTTACTTCAGGGCATGAGCCTCAGAACCAAACTGTGCCCCTGGCAGAGGTCAACCCCTGCCTTTTTCTTCTGCTTCCTAACATGGCTGTGGCGTCTTGCTCGACCCACCGGATCTCCTCTGCGTGGTGTCGCTGCTCCAGCTCCAGCTCCTCCTCCATCTTCTCTGCCCTCTCCAGCTGCTCCTGCTGGAGCCGCCTCTGCTCTTCCTGCTCCCTTCTCATTCTCTCCACCTCCAACCGTCTCATCTCGGCCCTCTCTGCTCGCAGCCTGTCCCGGGAAGCTTTCTCCTGCTCCCTCTTGGCAAGGAGGTCCTAGGGAGCCAGAGAGTTCTTAGTACCATGGACAGGTGGTGATCAGGGGTGAGCCTGCCTCAGCGGTGAGCCTGTCTCAGCGGTGAGCCCTCCTCCACCCAGGCGATTTGTCTCTAATTTGAGATGGAATCATTAAGTGGCTTCCACACTCTGACCACAGCTGCATAAACTATGCTGCCACCAGCTTGGGCTCAGGCCTGATGGACCTGTATCCAAGTCTTTGTCCTACTTGCTTCAGGATTTGGGGAATCACAACTTAATTTCTCTGTTATTGTCTTCCTCTTGGGGCTATTATCAGGATTAATTGAAAAAGTGAAAGCGCCAACATAATACAATTGGTACATTATATGTCTGGAGTTTTGAACCAAGCTGCACTTTAGAATTACACAAGGAGCTTTTAAAAATTACTTGAGGCCAAGGCCCCACCCAGACAATTAAATGAAAATATCTAGGCAGGAGCCATCTGTGATTTTAAAAAGCTTTGTGGGTGAAGCTAGGGCTGGGTACCAGAGGTTCTGGGTAAAGGCTATTTTACCAGAGGCAGTCGTGGGTATAGATTTGTCAGATTCAGGTTTAATCTCATACAAACCCACTTTTTCCATGGAAGGTACTCTCAGTTTATGCAAAGGGTGTCTTAGCTTTCTTTTTTCTCCCTGGTGCCTCGTTTTCAGTCAGAAATATGCCCATGAGGGGAAACTTGAAAGGCAGCCCTTCCATGTGTACCTAACTTGGGGTGAAACTTCCTTGCTTTTTAGCCTTTGCAGAGGCAGCACGGCACTATGAATTGACAGTAAATCTAAGAAATTCTGATAATCTAGTAGGCTCAGAAAAGTTCTGTATACCGGTTGAAATATTTATCTGCTATGTAGAGCAGAATTCCATAATTTAGGCAGCTGGGAGAATTGAGAACTACAGAGGAAAACTCTTTTTGAAATCCTTATTGGAAGACCATGGCCTATAAAATAAGTACGTAATAATTTAAAATGGTGACGAGTTCTGATTTTGGAGTCAAAGGACCAGGGTTTAAGTCTTGGCTCTCCCACTTGATGGTTGTATAACTCTGGCAATAGACATTAAGCTCCTTCAACCCTCAGTTTCTATATCTATAAAATGGGACTAATTATACTTGGTTCAGAAGTATGGCTTCATGAGACTCAGCAGAGATGTCCTGTATGCATGTGGCATATGCAAGTTTAACATAGTGGTTTAACTGTGGGTGTGTTTGTAGTGTTTAAAGGTATTTTTTTGCGGGGGGGTACAAGACAACCTCTCAATGCAGTTTAGCGCCTTCATTTCAGTGAAAGAAATAGTGATTATTCCAACAGCAGAGGAATAAGTTGGCTGTGCTGGTCTTATTGAGAGATGTACCTGTGTGGTATTATTTTTGGCTAATTAAAGAGATTATCAAGGGTAATTTTCTTTATACTTGCTCAGTTTTTCTCTTAAATGGCTGACATTGGACTCAAGGACCCTGGAACAAAATGACTCCTATATGCAAAATCACCTTGTTAAGGCAGATGTGTGTGTGTAAGCTGCTGGTGGGCCAGCCGTGGGCCACAGAAAAGCAGACTAGGGAAGGAGGAATTTCCATAGCCTTCAGGAGGCAAGCAGGACATGAGCTCTAGACCAAGTCAAGGATATGTGTTTGGCTCTGATGGCCCCAATCCACCTTTTCCTATAACTCGGAGGCCTGTGCCCTTCACAGATGGGGGCTGCACCACTTTCCTGCTCTTTAAGGGTCAGATACGTGCCCTGGCAGGTTGGGAGACTCCGAATGCATCTTTCCAGAGGGGCTTTGCCACTCTCTTTGATCATGTCTGGCTTCCTCAAAGGGTCAGTAGTTACCAAAGTACACCAAATAAAACCATTCTGTGGTAGAGCTATTCCTGTAACTGCAGTATAATTTGGGGCAGTTTTTCCCACCTCTGCAGTTGCACCAGTGAGGACAAAAATCCCTCTGGCCAAGGCAAGAAACACTGAGTCCTACCATGGAAGCGTCCACATGGCTTCTCTCTTCTTTAGATTCTGTGTTTCCCACGACAGTGACATTTGGGATGGGTGATGATCTTCCATCTATTGACACTTGGCTCTCCGGAGCATCACCTCTGGGAGAAAGCCCAGGGTCCTCTGCAGGAGAGTCTGGAGGAAAGAAATCTCTGTCCGAGGTGTCCTCTGTTTCCTTAGCGTCAACAACATCAGACCCACTCAGCACTGCTGCTGTTTCCACATCCCTTTCCTTCTGTGCCCATTTCCTTTTGGTTCCTGGTGTTTTTCCTTTGGGAATTAAGTCTGATTTATTTTCAGCCTTTGATCCCTTTGACTTTCCTAGGGAGAATAATCAGGTACAGAGTTATAGCTAAGCAAATGTGATCTCTGTGCATCCTTTTCAGTAACTGTGCAACCTCAGCGTGCAATGGAATCACATGGGGATGCAGATGGCTGAGCCCCACTCCTAGAGTCTGATTTGGTAGGAACAGGCATTTTAACAATCACTCCGTGTTTTAAGAAAAGTAGTCCCCAGACCACCCTTTAAAAAACTGCCTTATTCTATTTGGATCAATTGTAATTCAGCAATCTGGCTACTAAAAAAGTCCTGTTTCACCCTGACCTATGGTGGGGGTGAGACTCTCTGTAGGGGAGACCTGTTGACAGCTGGAAAGTTATGCTTCCAGAGTCTGGCTTGAAGCTGAAGCTTTGTAACTTTGCAAAGTTCAGCCTTCCATACTCTTAGGACTCTTCCTCGATTCACCTCTGGGGGCCACAAGTACGTATTTCCTTTTCCCAGTCCTGCCAGGGCTACCAAGTCATGGGGCTACGATGACGTAAACTCAGCAAGGCTTTACAAAGCAAACCTTGAAAGTAAATCTGGCTCGGGAGACTCCCTAATGTCATCCTTTCTGATAGTTTTTGATTTGAGTTGAGGGTCTTCTGAATCACATGTTGGAAAGAATGGGTGCAGGTTTTAGGCTAAAGCAAGTCTTCAGAAGCACAAGGATCTGAATTCCTTTTAAGGTGCAACATAAGGAGCCAAGAAGAAAAATGGTAGCTGGGTAATCATTCAGAACTAGTTCCATCCTTCCCCTTCCCATATGTTCAAGTCTACCCAATTCTCATACTATGATGTAGTTATTAGCTCAGAGAGGCAGTGGTAATAGCATGTGTTTGGAATCAAATGGCAGGGTTAGACCCTTGGTCCGCCACTTTACTGTTTGATCTGTTTGATCTTATGTATGCAAGTCACCCAACCTCTCTCAGCTTCAACTACTACATGGTATTATATACTAATAGTGCTTCCTTTATAAAGATGTTGTGGGGGTTTCATGATATTATGTATGCACAGCTCCTAATACAGTGGGTATTTAGTAAATAGGTGCTAATGTTATTATTATCATTTCCTCTCTTGATGATCACAGGTCTTTAGGCATCCCAGTTTCCTCTATCCCTGTCTCCTAAGATATTGACATGAAGCAAGGCTGCAACGCCATCTTAACTATGGTGGTCAAGAAGACTCAAAACAGAGAGTTTGTCCCATAGGATCCATGCTGATTCTCGGTGACACCTCCCAGCCCCGATTAGGTGTCTTCTTCTGGGTCGTTCCTTCCGAGTCACTCGCTTACCGACAGCAACCTTTGCTTCCACATGGACCTTTCCTTCTCTCTTCCCCTCAGGCACCTTAGATTTGTCTGTCTTGGTTCTTTTCTTTCTCTTGGCTTTGTCAATCAACTCCATCTTCTCCTGAAGGTGAACAATTAAGGAAAGGGCCATGATACATGTAGGAAACAAGGGAAAAAAACAACAACCCATCAAAGGAAGATTATGTTGAACAAGACAGAGTGGCTTAGCATGGAACTCGTGTGGGTTCCAGATGAGGCAGAAGGGCAAATCTTAGAAAGTGTGGAGCTTGTGGGAAGGGCCTAAGGTTCTGCTTTTGATTTTAAATTGCTAGGTTTCATTTCATAGGAGAGAAGACGAATAGAATACATTTTGAGATCTGCCCCCTTTTTTTTATGCTAAATCATGGTCTACAGAGCTGGATCAAAGTGAAGCAGTTTTCACTTTTGATAGATTGCCGTTGCCACAATTCATGGTTAAGTAGTTTAAATGAAAGCCAGCTTTATTCACTGGTGCATCATTGGTAACTTTCAGGAGACCTTCAGCAGATGACCGCAGCATGTCAGTCCTGTGGGCTGGGACAACATGGAGGTTCTTTCTAAGAGGATGGCAGAGCAGGGCCACAGCTACCCACCAAGTCCTTGGCACAAAGCTCCTATAACCCCTGTAATTTCTGAAGCATAAAGACGAAGGGAGTATCTTTTGTTATTCATAACAAGCTCCTTTCGACCACACCTGAGATTATGGTAATGAGGTCACTTTTGGAAAGTTCCCCTGGTTGTCAGGGGAACCAACCAGGTGTTCAGAGGTTTGGACCCATCAGCCCTACACACCTGATCTCAGAGGAGGGGAGAGGGGGCTGGAGGTTGAGTTAATTGTCATTTGTCAATTATTTAATCAGTCGTGTTTATGTAATGAAGCCTCCATAAAAAACCCAAACCAAAGGAGTTCAGAGAGCTTCTGGGTTGGTGAACACATCCACATGCTGGGAGGGCGGCACAACCTAAACTCTACGGGGACAGAGACTCCTGTGGTTGGGATCTTTCTGGACTTTGCCCTATGCATTTCTTCATCTGGCTATTCATGTGTATCCTTTATCATAAACTTTGTAATAAATCTGTAATAGTAAGTGTTTCCCTGAGTTTTGTAAGCCATTCTAGCAAATTATCAAACCTGAGGAGGGGTTGGTGGGAATCCCCTATTTAAAGCCTGTTGGTCAGAAGTGCAGGTGACAACCTGGGACTTGCAATTGGTGTCTGAAGCAGGGGCAGTCTGGGGCTGCGCTCCTAACCTGTGGGACCTGTGCTTATTCTGGGCATACTGAATTATAGGACACCCAGTTGGTGTCCAGAGAGTTGGAGAATTGGTTGTTGTGGGAAAAACCTCCACACATTTGGTGTCAGAAATGGTATAAGTATAGAAGTGAAGTTCCCTTTTAGTACCTTTGTAGGAATTAGAAACGGGAACCCCAACTTTCAAAAGGATGCAGCCCAATGCTGGGGTGCAAGGTACGGTGAGCAGGCCACAGACTGGATTTCAGCCCCAACTCGCTCACTCTGTCAGGTGTCTTTACATCGTAAGCAATCCACACAGCTGTATGTGGTAGCCCGACGGGAGCACGATCCAGGTAGGGCCGTTTGCCCAAGCTCACAGGTGTTTGCACTCACATGACTGATGTTGGTTGGTGTCTGCTGGTTGGACAGTCTTGGTTCAGTCTTCCCTTCTCTTTCTTTTGGAAGAAGAGATGTGTCTACAGGACCCAACCTCTTTGGGGACTCAGGCCCATATCCTGGGAGTCCACCGTGCAGATGGTGCACATCATAATCTTTGCCCCTTTGAAAAAAGCAAACCAACAGGACCAAACTAAAGAGAAAACTGGTGGACAAGGCAGAGAGAAAGTGACCACTGACTGAGCAGCTGTTCTCTGTCAGGCACTATGGTGGGCATTTTACACACTGGGTCAACCCTCTTTTTCTGAATAATAGAGATTAGAAAGTTTGGTCTTCACGTTTGGGGTTGTCTCAGGCTAAATCCTAAATCTTAGGGAGCAGGAAAAAGTTTGTCTCTTTGGGATTGCATATTTATGCCTTCAATTGAATGACGTAGGATTATCTAACTGAAATGTCTTTTGTCAAATGCTTAGCTGAAAAATAGTGACCTTTAAGAAAAATTGTCTAAGAAGATACAACTACCCATCCATTCCTTTATACCCTCTGAATTCTATTCTTGCTCAAATTCAGCCCATGTGCTGTGTTAGTTTGATCCCTTGTAGAATTGCTGTCACTGACTGTGTGCCTTGAGGATAACTGACTTATTTTCTCTGGGTAAAAAGGTCACCAAGAAACAGCCATGTAGATTTCAGTAACAGCAGCAGCTATAGCTAGTGTGTGACCAGCCTGGTTCTGGGCATTTTATTTTTTTAGCTACATCAGTATTATATTTACTGTGCTGTGCTAGCACAGGGCCTTACTATAGAAACTTGAGAAATATTTCTTGAATGAGGTAAATGGAATTTCCTGTAAATATATGAGTCTTTAAATCATTCAATGTCACTCTATAAAAACCCACAGAAGAAGTATCCTTTAGAATTTAATGCTAGGAAAACATTTATTTTCCCTGAGGAACAGGTATGCTGCAAATGAGTACCACAAACCTGATCGTGTTGCTTTTCATTTTTGCTTTCACATTCAAGAATCTGTGTATCAAGTTTGAAAGTCTGACCATCAATCACAATGTCTATAATGACTTTTGTGGAGTGTTGATTTTCTTTTTTTAAATTTTCTCCTGATTTAAAAAAAAA